GATCTGCTCCGCATACTGCAGCCTCCTCCCCTCCCCACCGCCCGCCGGCAGCCCGTGCGCCTGCCGCGCGCCGCTGCCGCGCGCCGGCCGCAGCAGCAGCTTCAGGGCGACCGCCTCCTCCTCGTCCCCGGCGCGTCCGAGGTGGGCGAGCTGCACCCCGAGCTGCAGCCGCATGGCCTCGTCGCCGCGCGCGAGCCCGCAGGTCGGCATCTCCGCAAGCGCGGCCCCCGCGTCGCCGCCGCCGCCGCTAGCCTCCGGCGTCGCCGCCGCGGCTGTTGCTCGCCCGCGAGCGGCCGCGTCTGGCGCGCGCGCGGCTTGCGGCGGCGGCGGCGCGCGCGTCTGCGTGCGCAGCAGCTCGTTGCCGCGCATGACGCGCTGCAGCGCGGCTTCCAGCGCGCCCCCGCCGCCGCCGCCACCGCCAGACGGCGCCCTGAGGGGTCCCACGCACGACGCCGGGCTGTCGCCGCCGCCGCCGCCGCCCGCGTCATCGCCCGAGTCTGCGGCCGCAACAGTGACCAGCGCCGGCACACCCGCCGTCGCGGCGGCGGCGGTCGCGCCCGTCGCGCCGCTCTCGGCCGGCTCGCCCCAGGTGTCGCTGCCCGCGCGGCACGACCGCGCGGGGGCGCCGCCGACGACACATGCCGCCGGCGCTTGCTGCTGCTGCTGCTGCTGCTGCTGCTGCCGGTGCTGCTGCCGCCGCGGGGCATGCGCAGCGACGACAGGCGGCGCGTCGCCAGAGCTGCAGCTGGTGCCGCGGGCGCCGCGCGCGGCGCCCACCGGCCCCAGGCTCCAGGCTGCGCCGTCTGCCCCGCCCAGATCATCCCCATCCTCAGTTTCAGGCAGCTCCTCATCCTCCCCCTCGGTACTCCACTCGCCCCCGTCCGCGCCGTCGACAGCAGGCGCGCCGCGCCCGCGGCCGCGCGGCGGCGCCGAGCCCGCCGGGGGCGGCCCGTGCCCAGCCGGGCAGGCCTCCCGCCCCCGCCGCTGCGCGTCTGCGGCCGCGGCAGTCGCATCCGCGGCCGCCCTGCGCTGCTTGTCCTGCTCCCGCAGCTGCAGCTGGCGCCGCCGCACGGCCTCGACCGTCGCGGGATCCACGCGCTTGCTGCTCGCGCTGCCGGGCAGCTGCAGACGCCTGGCGCCGCCGCCGCCGCCGCTGCTGGCGGCCACCACGGCCGCGGCCCGGGGCGCGCCAGTGGGGTCGGCGCGTGCGGCGGAGCCGCCGCCCTCCCAGCCGCGATGGCCGACGTGCGCGCGCGTGCTCGCATCATCCGCGTCGCAGCCGCCGCAGCTGAGGCGGCTGGCTGAGTCAGCGTCCGAGGGGAACAGCCGCGCGCAGGGCAGCCCGCTGTCCGAGGCCGCGGGCGCCGCCGCCGCGCTGCTGGCGGGCGCGCTGCTGGCGCACTCGCTGTGGGGGGCCGCAGTGGACTCCAGGGAGCTACCACCTGCACGGCCGCCGTCGCCGCCGCCGCTGGTGGTGCCGCTGCAGGCAGGCGTCCGCTGCAGCCAGCCGCAGGGCCCGCCGCCATGAGCGCCCGCCCCATTGGTGACGTTCCCGTCCGCCTGCTGCGGCAAGCCGCCGAGGGTACCCCGCCGCAGCCGCCGCCGCCCCTGGCCTGTGCCTGACGGCCGGCGCGCCGCCAGCCGGTGGCTCTCCAGCTGCCGCAGGTCCTCCGCATCGAGATCAGAGTCCTCCAGATCTGCACCCTCCGGATCTGCACCTGGGTCGTGATCCAACGCCTGCTCGTCTTCCAGGAGGTCGTGCTCAGGAGTCTCCAGCAGCTGCGCCGCGCGGCGGCCAGGCTTCACACGGGCGCGGTGGGGCACCTGTGTTGGGCTTTGGTCAGACGACTGCTGCCGCGCGGGCGGCGGCGCAGCGGGCGCGGCGGGCGCAGCTGGCTGATGCGCTGGTGCAGGTGGCACGCCTTCGGTCGCATCTTGGGGTGCCTTTCGGCCGCCGGGCTGCCGCAGCCGCTGCTGCTGCTCTGGCCCCTCCTGCCTCAGCCGCCTGTCCTCCTCGCGCTGCCGCCGCTCCGCCTCCTCCACCTCCCGCAACCGCCGCTGCTCTCGGCCCGCGCTGCCGCCGCCGCCGCCCTCACGGGCGGCCGCGGACCGCCCCATCAACGGGTACTGCAGCGCTGGATTGCTCAGAGCCGCCCCGCCGCAAGCCCCGCCGTGCGCCCAGGGCCCGCCGCCCCAGTCTGACGGGTCGGCCTGCGTCTCAGGCACCGCGCCGTCCGCGTCCAGCCCTGGGGAGCCGCAGCGCGCCAGGCGCCGCTCCTGCCGCCCCGCGCAGCTGCCGTCCTCCACCAGGCCTTGCTCGTTGCTGCCGCCCTCCTCCACCTCCTCCCCGTCCTCCTCCCCGTCCTCAACCTCGTCCCACGCCTTGTCTCCCCCCGCAGCCTCGCTGTTCGCCCCGTGTGCATGTGGGGATGCCTCCACCCCGCTGTCCCCTCCGCTGCCCGCGGCCTCCGCAGCCCAGTCATCTGCAGGGGGGTCTTCTGTGCCGCAGTCGCTGCCCTCCCCGCCGACACAAGCGTCAAATCCCGGGCCCTGCTGGGTGCCTTGCGCCGCTACCGACACAGCGGCCGCCGACGCCGCTGCCAGGGGGCTGCGAGCTGCTGCGGCATCCAAGTGGTGTTGCGGCTGTCGCCGCCCGCCCTGCCTGCCGTGTCCGTGCTGCTGCTCAACGCCGTCCTCCTCCACTTCTCGCGCCCCAGAGCCGCCCCAGCCCCACTGTGGGCTTCCGCCATCGCCAGACGGCGGCGGCCCACCCCTGCCGACCCCCACGAACGAGAATGCGCCGGCCGCCGCGTAAGCCGCGCCGCGCGGGCTGCCGGGGCTGTTTGTGCCGCTGGGTATGCTGCCAAATGGCTGGCTGTCTGGAACCTCGATGTCGGCGGGCGAACCTGCACACGCGCCCATCTCTGCCCGCCCGCCCGGTGCGGCCGCTTCGTGCGCGCCGCGCGCTGCATGTGCCTCTTCTTCGCTGGCCCGCGTCTGAGGCGCGTCGAAGCAAAGCTGCCGCGACAGGCTTAGGCTGGCCGCAGGGTTCTGAGCAGGCAAGTCGTTTGCGTCTGCGTTGAGGCTGGCAGGAGGGCGGACGCGCAAACGCTCTTGGCTCTCAGCAGAGCTTGTGTCCTGCTCGTGCACCTGCTCCTGTCCCTGGTGCTTCTGCTCTTCCTCATCCTGCTGCAATTGTTGCTGCTGCTGCTGCTTCTGCTGCTGCTCTTGCTGTTGCTGCTGCTGCCGCTGCTCCTGCTGAGAATGGTCTTCAGGAAGCTGCGATGTTCCTCGGCGAAAAGGCACCATGTCGCCGTCAGCTGCATGACAGCCGCGAAACCGTGGCGGCTGCGGGGAAGCTGCCAGGGCCTCGTCGCCGTCGTCTTTGTAGTCATCAGGGGGCATGGCGCGGCCGGCAAGCACGCTGTCTGTGAGCCAGCGGTGGCAGACGATGTGGATCCCCCTGCATGGGGTGGCGACGCATGGCCCAGACGGCCCCGTTTGACAGCAACAAGGGGGTGGGTGGAAGCGACAAAGTCAAATTCGCTGCCAGCTAGACTTCAAGGCAGCTGCTCATGATCAAAGTGCGGATCCTCGTGCATCGACTGATGCTTGATGCAGGCTGTGCCATATCCTGCAATGCAGGCCATGTATGGGTTGTGCTGCTGCTATGTGCGGTGGCGTCTCCAACGTGATATCCGCACGCGTCAGCGCACGTCTCTGCGTCAGGACGCGGCCAACAGGGAGGGAAAAGTGCCCCTGGCTCCGCATTTGCTGCGGTCCGCACCATTCAAGTGCCATGCGGTACTTGGCGCTCCCGAATGCGTCCAGCATGCGCCTGCACACCAGGTGTGTCGTATGGCCCCGGACGAGGTCGCCCCTATAGCAGGCGCCCAGCGCCGCCACATGCGCCTGCAGTTCGGCCTTCGCGGCGCCGTGGAAGCCTGATGGTAGAGGATTGGGACAGGACAAATCGGTCGCATCTTGATGGAGGCCGACAGGCAAGTCACGGCTCTGCCCGTGGGCCGCGCACCGCACCTGACGCGCATATCACCACAGTACGCCGCTTGGGCACGCCCGCTGCCGCCGCTGCTCCATCGCCAGCCCCGATTAACGAGTTAGAAAGGTCGAAAAATGGTGCGGATCGCTGCATGGCTGCGAGGCTCTCCTTCTAGATCATCCACATCGTCACGAGGGCAGCCGGCGACATTCAAATTTCGGTGGGGCGAGATATGCATCTTTGATGGGCAAAAGCCCAACCTACGGGTTTAAAAAGCTGATCCACATAAGCTGCGTCCTCTCGCAACCCGGATACCGCACATGAACATCTCAGTGCCACTGGGTACAGCGACCGAGCAGCGTCGTACCCGCCCCATTCTCCCCGTGCTGGTCTCCTGCAACTAGGTGGCATTCAGAAGGGGGAAGGCCGACAGATGATCAACATAGTCATTGGCAACATGGAGACCCAACAAACCCAAGAGCTTGAGCTGGTGGACCACATCTTGTGTCTGCTGGGGTTTGACCTGGGTTTGACAATTGACACCTGAACCTGTCCGCTTGACCGGCCACTGGTTGCTTCCCTTGCCCTTGACATTGCCCAACAGTCCGTGCCGCACAGAATTCGTATTTGCAAGATATAATTTGCAGGATGAGAAGTTGCAGGCTGAAGAAAACGGGGCTACATCCGATACAGCAAGTCCCTCACGCCGCAACCCACGTGCAGGCTTGAGTTTTGCACGGGCGGTGCACACGGCGGGCTTGCTATACGCGTGAAAAGGAAGCTGAGGAGAACATTGTGGGCCCAAAGTTGGCCAAGCGATTGGCAAGCGCGCACGGTGCCTTCGCCCACGGTGGCGACATCTTGCACGCGGGCGTGCGAATGACAGATGACAGGGCGCAACAATTCAGTGCAGGGCGTCTGGGCGCCACAGCACCACACACGCAAGTGAGCCAGGAAGACAGCAGGTGGCGGCAATGCGGTTGGTGCGACAGCACAGCTGATGGAAAGACTGTGCAACACCCCAACTTGGGCCAAAGCACAGGGATGACAGCACATCAAAAGCACCCATCGTGCTGGAACAGGGGAGGGTCACAAACAAGGCACCCACTGGGCTCCGCACAAACCAAGGGGGAGCGAGGCCCAAACGGTGCCGCTATACTACGCGACGCCGTGTGCGAATTATCCAATCAGCCTGACAAGTGCCCACTTGCAGGCGCCTGCGGGCGCAAGATGGCGAGCTGCACGCCAAGCAGCCTAGCAGCCAGGGCAGCCGGAAGGAAGAACCCCGGAGCAATCCCCAAAATTCCGCCAAGACCGTCTGCTCTCAACAAGCACCCGCGGGACCCATCTGCTTGTTGGCGCCCCGGGCTTCCTCGTCCTCGCCCTCCTCCTGAGCCTGCACGGCCTCCGCAGAGGCCGGCGGCACGGGCTCCGACAGCTGCGCTGGCTGCTGCCCCGACTGGGCAGCAGGCGCGGCGTGCAGCGCCGGCCGTCCTTCCTGCGCGTGCTCCTGCGGCTGCAGGGGTGTGTCGGGCTGCGGCGGCGACGCGTGCTTACCCGACCCAGGCTTCTGTACACCAGCGGGCAGCTGCGCGGAAACTGGCGGCAAGCGCGGCTGCGGCTGCTGCGGCTCATCGTCGCTCGTGCCGCTGTGCGGCTTCGCCTGCTGCCCCTCCTCGTGCCGCCTCTCCGCCTCTTCCTGCCCCTCCGCAGCATCCCCGCTGTGCTCTCCATCCTGGTCTTCTGCCTCATCGCTGCCCACTTGCTTGAGATACCTGCTGCTCTGGCTGTCGCTCTGACAACGATCGTGGGGATGCTGCTGCTGCTGCTGCTGCTGCTGCTGCTGCTGCTGCACATGGAGCTGCTGCAGCTGCACCTGCCACGGCTGGTGGTTGCCGGCGGCGGCAGGCGGCGGCGCGGCGTGGGCGGCAGCTGCTGCGCTTGGTGGCCCGTCATGTCGGAAGTCACAGAGGTTGCCGCGGGCGCACTTCCCCCTGCCGAAAAACTTGCACGGGTACGGGTGTTTGGGCCTGTGCAGCTCTTTGGCTGCTGCCGGCTGGTGGGGCCCCATTGGGCGCTGTTGCTGCTCCTGCTCCTGCTGCTGCTGCTGCTGCGGCTGCGGCTGCTGCTGCTGCAGCGGTCGCTGCTGCTGCGCCTGCTGCTGCTGCTGCTGCTGGTGGTGGTGTTGCTGCTGCTGGTGCTGCTGGTGCTGCTGATGCTGGTGCACAAGATGCTGGTGCATAAGCTGCTGCTGCACATACTGCTGTTGCATGAACTGCTGCTGTTGCAGCAGCAGCAAACGTTGCTGCTGCTGCTGCTGCTGCTGCCCTGCTGCCTGGTGCTGCTGCGCCGCCTCCGCCAGTTGATGCTGCGCACGGCGCCGCCGGTCCTCATCAGCTGCACGCTGCTGCCGGTTGCTGCTGCCGCCAGAGCTTGCCTGTCCCTGAGCCTGCCAGCTGCCGCTACCGCCGCTGCCGCCAGAGCGCGCCAGCGGCTGCGGCGTCCAGCTTCCGCTGCCGCCCGATTGCGCCAGCGCCTGCGGCGTCCAGCCGCCGCTGCCACCAGAGCGCGCCAGTGGCTGCGGCATCCAGCTGCCGCTGCCGCCGGCGCCCGCCAGCGGCAGCATCTGCATGTGCGGCGGTATAGCTGGCACGGCAACGAACGGCGGACCTGGGGCCGCACCCAAGAACATGCCGGGCTGCAGCATAGGTACGAGTACGCACCCAGGGCCAGGCCCAGCCCGCAGTGCTGGTGGTGGGCCGTAAGCAGAGAGCGTGTGAGCCGCATGAGGGGGGCCCGGCGTAAAAAAGACATTTTGGCCCTGGCCGGCCCCTGCACTGACACTGCGCTGCAAATGCCGCTGGTTCCCAGGCTGCACCTGCACCTGCTGCTGCTGCTGCTGCTGCTGCTGCTGCTGCTGCTGCTGCTGCTGCACCACATGCGGCTCTGACTGCTGGCGTGCAACGGGCTGAGCCTGCCGCTGCACGGCAGCCTGCTGCTGAGGCAACTGCCCCTGGGCCCTGCCCCCTTGCTGCTGCGGTTGCTGCTGTGCATCTTGCGCCTGATGCTGCTGCGCCTGCTGGGCCTGCTGCGCATGCTGCAGCGCTGCAGATGCTGCCACGACCTGGCTCTGTTGTACCGCCTGCTGCGCACCCTGCGGCTGCTTCTGCGGCTGCTGCTGCTGCTGCGACGCCTGCACCACCGCTGCCTGCTTCTGCACCAACGCGGACGCCGCCGGTGCCGACGACGCGGCACGCGCGTTCCCCCCGCGCGCGCGCTCGTTCAGGGAGGCGAGGAGCCGCCGCTGGGCCGCGGTGTACGCCGCCCCGCGCGCGGGGTCATGCTTCGCGAGCCACCTCGCCATGTAGCAGCCCGAGGACGGGTCGTACCAAGACATCCACGGCGGCAGCGGCGCGGGCGCGCCCGCGCGCGCGTATTGCGCTTTTGGGCGGTGCGCGGCCCTGCGCTGGTACTCCTCCGCGAGCACGGCCGCCTGCTGCGGCAGCGGCAGCTCGGAGAACCCCTCGCCCTGCGACGCCCAGCCGCCGCCGGCGCCGTCGTCCGCGGCCGTGCGCCGCAGCTCCTCCAACAGTGCCGCCTCCTCGGCCGCCCGCGCCGCGGCCTCCCCGGTCGCGGCCGCGGCCGCGGCCTCGGCGGCGGCGGCGGACGCGGCGCGGCGCGCGAGGCGCAGCTGGTGCTTGGTCGGCTTCTTGCGCTGCTCGCACGCCGCGCTGCCGCCGCCCCCGCTCGCGCCGCTGCCCGCCGCGTCGCCGTCGCCTACCTGCTGGCGCTGCGACCGCTCCTCGTCAGGGTCGCCGCTGCTGCTGCTGCTGCAATCTTCGAAGCTGTCATCCTCGTCACCGTCGGCCCTGCTGCCGCCGCCGGCGCCGCTGCTGCTCGCATCCGCCCCGCTGAGGGCCGCCGCACCCAGGGCCGCCTCGTTGTTGAGGCTGGCGCTGCGGTCGAGGCTGCCGGCCCTGCCCAGGCTGCTGCCGCCGCTGCTGCCGCTGCCGCCGCCGCCGCTGCCGCTGCCGCCGCTGCCGCCGCCGCCTATGCTGCTGCCACCGTTGCTGTGGGCCCGGCCCGGGTGGCTCGCGCGCTGCGCCGGGTGGGGCTGAGCGTGCGGCCGCCACTCCATCTGCTGGCGCGCATCGTCCTGCGACGCGCCGCGCCACTTCGGCCGCCACTCCAGCCGCTCGCGTTCGGATTGCGGCTC